CCGGGGCTACCCAGCCGCTGCGTTTGCGGAGCAGCCGGCCAAGCTGCGGGGCAGCCGTGCGCATTCGTTGCGCTTTCCCGATGTGGGAAATATGGAAACGTGGCACTTTGCTTCTCCCCTTCTCGGCGCTCACTTCGCTAACGCAGGAGTTCCTAGTGTCTTGATGGAGGAGGACGAAAAAGGGAAGTGTCAAAAATCTACTTTTTAGAAGAGAGAGAGGTCTAAAAAGTAATAGGCAGAGGCGGTAGGAGGTGCGGGGACGAGTCATTCTTGTCTTTTTCCAAGTTCGAAAGCGCAGGCAACAAACGCCAAGCGGCCAACCCTTCAGATGGGGCCAGTCTCACCCCCAGTCGCCTGGGTGCTGCAAACTTTATTCCTCTCCTGCCCCTCCCCCATCTCTCTCCAGCCCGGAGAAAACCAGCGCGCGAACCATTCTTCAGCAGGTGCCAAGTGCGGGCCGGTTCGGAGAGAGCCCTCAGGGCCCGCGTGGAGCTGCGGGAAACGCAGGCGGAACCGCCGGCGGCGCTCTGCCGGGACCTGGCTTGGGGTCAAGGGTGGCGGCGGGACCCAGCTCGGGTGGGAGCCTGACCCAGGCAGCCACGCCCACAACATTAACTGGGACTGTGGGGACGCTGGGGATGCCAGCAATGGCTAGGATGTGCTGGCGTGGCCTTGGAAAACTTTCATCTCATTTGGTGACCCCCGAGGGTGTTCATTTCGCCCCCTAACCTGCCTTCCTCTAGTTCGAGCATTCATCGACCCAAGAGTGGTCAGGTCCGGGATGGCCAAGGGTGGTCTGGCTTTTTCTCCCCTGGGGAGCGGAGACAATGGTGGCCTCCGCGTCACGCAGTCTCCCTCCGGGCCTCCAGCTCAGTCCTTGTAGATTTGAAGGACAGACGCTGTTCCAGAAACGCAGTAAGTCCAGTCCTAGGAACCCAGATAGGGGTGGGATGGGGAGTAGCGGAAGCCAACTTATATTTGAAACCTACCGTTTTCCATGGATCAAGACAAGCTCAACTATGGCTGAATAAACAACCAATGTTCCCCAGAGTTTTAAAGCTGCCCATAAGTTGCGGTCGTGTTTTGGAGATTCGGGATCCTATTTCCAATGAGAGTTGTCGGGGGGCATGCTTATGTTTGTTATTTTCAAAACCAAGCAAAGGAAACAGCAGCCAATTAAAATGAAATATTTTTATTTGCCTCCAACATTGTCAGTGATTTGCCCCCCGGGATCCACAATTTTCCCAAGCCTGTTAACGGGTGACAATGAATGAGTGCCTCGTGTAATTTAATTTTCCTGTCACACTAAATAGAGCTACATTGTAAACCTTAGATCTACTCTTACTGATAGGATCGCCTTGTTTTGCCATTTGCACCATAAAGACCCCCAAAAGGGACACTGTATTGTGACCTCTACTCTTGAATTATTCAAGAACTTAATGACATTTTCCATTTTAAAAAGGGAACTAATTGCCATTGATGTAAAGCATGTGACCTTCCCTGGGTGCCCAGTATGAGAATGTAACCATCTGTGTGTGCATACAGGAGCTGCAGAAAGCAGGCAAAAACAGGAGAAAGTTGTAAACATAAATTAGCTCAAAATAGACATGGAATTAAGCACATTATTTAATTCCACCCCCAGCCATGACATAGGTTTCCAGAAAGTTCTCTTACCTGATCGAAAGTGTATGTGAAATCTCACATCAACTCAGGCCTGTTTTGGGCCATGGCATGACTTTTTACCTCGGACAGTAATATTTGAATTAGTGAAATTACTTCGTGTGATTAAGCAAAATGTTTAATAATCTGCTCCCTTTCCTCCTCCCTCTCCTCCTCCCATTCTCCCTATCTCCCCATCCTCCTCCTCCTCCTTCTTCTTCCTCTTCCTCCTCCTCCTCTTCTTCTTCACCTTCCTTAATTTCGTTATTTTCTTACTCAATAAGAAAAAGAAACTCACAACTGTAAAGAAATTACACCTCAGTATTTGCTATTTGAAGCAGGCTTAAGTCTTCAGAAAAGCCGGCATTGAAATTCTTCAGGATCAGAATTCTTACTCTTCAAATTCCTTGAAAAAGGATGCTTATCTCTCCTCAAAGTCAAAAGACTCCCAGTGTATTTTCTTTCTTTTTTTCTTTCATTCTTTCTTTCATTTCATTTCTTCCTTCCTTCCTTCCTTCCTTCCTTCCTTCCTTCCTTCCTTCCTTCCTTCATTACTTCCTTATTTTCTTTCTTTCTTTCTTTCTTTCTTTCTTTCTTTCTTTCTTTCTTTCTTTCTTTTACAAATGGTTTATGGTCAAGTTGGTTTCCATATAACACCCAGTGCTCATCCCCACAAGTGCCCTCCTCCATGCCCATCTCCCCCCTCCCCCCCCACATCCATCAGTCCTCAGTTTTTGTCAGCATTCAAGAGTCTCTCATGGTTTGCCTCCCAGTGTATTTTCTACTGTCCATTCACTCCCTAAACTCTAGAGGAAAGCAAGAACAGAGAAAATGTTCTTTGGTTTCACAATTTCACAATCAGTGTGCAAAGATGCCCTGATGCTTTTCTTGATCTGTCTACTGAGTCCACAGCCAATATTAACCATTTTAAAAGGGTAAGTAAATTGGGAAGTAAAACACATTTCCAGGCTGGGCTACAAATACTTCTTTTGACCCTTAACTGATGCTTTCAACAAGAAATTTCATTTCGGCAGAGAATGTACAGTTCCTTTTTAATAAACACACCATGGCTTCATTGAGAACTAAGTAACCTCTCTCTGTTAGGCTGTGTGAATCCACACCTCTATATTGTAGAATTTCTGGAGGAAAAGAAATAAAGTACATTTGAATACTTAGCTCAATTCTATTAACCCATTTGACACAATTACTGCCATTGCAGCCTGGAGTCATGTGCAAAACACTGGAGATCCAACACTCCATCTCTGGCAGAATACAAGTGCTATTTAAGGAGTTTGTCATAAAATCATTATTACTCACATTGTGTAACCGAACAACTGCTTTCATATTTCTTCAAAAGAAACTCATTTTCCTCTTTGGTATTATGTGCTTTTTTTGTACAGTAACATGGTAGAAAAAAATAGTAAGGATACATGTTCTTTTTGTTAAATAATAAGTTCATATTTAAGGAATAAAGTTTAGAGCATTTGCAAAATCAAGAAAAGTTACAACATGTATGGAATGGGCTGAGAGTCACCTCCATTTAAGTTCTGTATGAAAAAAGCAGCATTTCATTTTATAGATTTTTCATTTATTTCTCCACATTTGGAAAATTCTTTTGGAACAACTTAATGTTGATAAGAAGACAGAGAAGCAATTATATGGGTCTCTCACAGCATGCCTAGACTCTCTCTAGCATTCTATACGATTATAACCCAGTAATTTTTCCACTGTGACAGTGTGTGTTCAAAATGAAAATTTGGTTCACTGTCCAAACTGCCTAAGTGACAGTTATTTTTCTTTTCATCTTAAAAAAACAACAGTCTTGATCTAGGCCCACCTGAGGGCAATTGTAAGTACTGTGGCAAGTTTGCAGCAACTTTAGGGCATAGCAAAGCCCTCCCCTGGCTCTCTTTCTAGATCTCTCCCTCTTCTGAATGGATTTCCGTGTTGACCATCCAGAGAGTCAGGAGGAGGTTTTTGTTTGTTTGTTTGTTTGTTTTTTAACTGCACTGAGGTTACGTGGATGGTTCTAGAAACCTGTGCAAGAGATTCTGGGTTAGGGTCACATTTCATCCAGTTCCTATTACTCCCTCCCCCTGCTCACCAAAAGTCAAAAGTAAAACCAACAGCTTTGAAAAGCATTCCCAGGTGGCCTTTATAAAGAGTAAACAGATGCCTACCTCAGGGTGGGGGTGGGGGGTCAGGGATGACATTTTAGTTCCTCATCTGTAAAATGGGTTCCTTATTTCTCCATCCAGTCTGATATAAAGGGACACAGTTAGGCTTTGTGACTGTGTCTCTTGTCATTGATGGAGTTCAACAGCACTGTCCACGTTGGTTATTTTTCAAGATGCTATGCACACACTAGAAGGGAAAAATGAGGCAATTACTGAGAGAAAAAATAAGGTAGCTTATGATACCAAGGCAGATATATTTTCAAGCCAGCCTGCCCTTATGTATATAATTTCTTCTTTTCCAAGTCCTTGTAGGCTTTCAGTAACTGCAGTGTGCAAACAGCCTGGGCGTCTTGTACTTTTCCATTTTTACCCCAGGTGGGAAGACCTGATGTGTATATGTTTTCACCCTCATTCATGAATTTGTTTACATTCTTTGTCTCCTCCTTTAAAGCTTTTAACTCTTGATATATGGTTTTTAAAATGCCAGAGCTGGCAAAAATTAACGATAACTTTCTGTCTTATTCTATTTCTCTGAATGTATGCACTTACATATATTTGCTGGATTCCTAACTGTCCATTCTTCTTTCCTGGGAATAACATCAAGACAGTGTAACCCTGACACAATTACTAAAAACTCTTTTTAAAAAACTACTAAAAAACCTTAAAAAAATTCCATTTCTTCCATCTATAAATATTTACTTTATAAACAAGGATTGTGTTCTGAATCTGTGTTGAGATTCTGCTTTTGCATGGAGCCTTGTCCCTGACTAAGAAAGTGGTTATAAAGTCACTCAGCAATAACATTTTCCAGTGTGAGCAAATATGGCTATCGAAGTAGGAACATCTGTTCTAATGTGTTCTCTTTCTTCATGGACCCCAGGGGGTACAAAATTCCTAAAGAATTATCTGTGCAATGGGTAAAGTTCATGTGTTATACTGGATCTCAAGGATGCCAATTAAGTGTTCAAATCATGGAGTAATTAAAACATATATAAAATATATCTTGAGTTCACTGAGGCCGAATGTTCTGGCATGGAAGCCATCAATTTTCTAATAAGAATATAGAGACTTTTCAAACCATGCCATCAGGATGTAGTTCACTTTTCAAACAAAATTCGAATGACTGCCTGACTCTCCTTGACCGCATTCTTATGTTTTCTCTAGATTTGCTTATTCCCAGCTACAGGAGCAAAAAGATGAGATGGAGGAAGAATGTTGTTTTCCTAAGAGCACGTGACAGAAAGCACATGAACTTCTCCCCAAGCTGAACTTTGACCATCACAAGAGTGTCCCCAAAAAGCCATAACTTTGCTGTCAGATTCAGATTGCTCCCGGATGCTTTCCCCTGAGTTTTCAATGAATATCAACTGAGGAATGAGACAAAAAAAGCATACTGTTAATAAACAGGCAATGGTCCAAGTCCAGATGGGTGCTGTGCATGAATATGGAGCTCTCAGGATAAAGGGAAAGGGACACATGAAAATTGAGACTTGCAGCCTTGGACCAAACCACCAGACCAACAAGCATTAGAATATGTCAACACAGGGGCGCCTGGGTGGCTCAGTCACTTTAGCGTCCAACATCAGCTCAGGTCATGATCTCACAGTTTGTGGGTTTGAGCCCTGTGTTGGGCTCTGTGCTGACAGTTCAGAGCCTGGAGCCTGCTTCAGATTCTGTGTCTCCCTCTCTCTCTGCTCCTCGAAAGTGTTGACTTGTTCTGCAGTGTAAGTTAAAGCTGACAGTCAGATTATCCAAATAGACATTTAACCTTCCATGAAATTACTAAAGCTTACCATGAGTAAATAACAATAAATGTTCAATTTTTATAAATCACTGGCCTAAAAGTGAGTCTTAAGACATTACTTTTCAATGACAAGAGAGAGTCCATGGAGTCAGAGTAATTGCTTGGAGTGAAACATGGTCCGGTACTCATCCCTTATAGGGCTTTCTTTGCTGGCTGACACAATTTTGTGGCCCCTGCCTCACAGAAAGTGGGGCCAGCATGTAAACAGGCTCTCTGAGCTCCCTGGGGTGGGCAGAACAGGTGCACTTTCCCGAAGGAGTACTGAGTTGGGGCACACCAACAGCCCAGGGCACACACACCAATGCCTTTGCCATCTGCCCACTATGGCACACACTTGCCATGCTGAGCATGATACATTCCAAAAGGAAGGGAATTGCAGGTCTTAGGTATGGCCATCATGTGGAAATTTGTACTGCTCTTAGTGCCATTTTCAAATATTGGGGTGAGGACGGCATACAAGGGACAGAGTTCAGCCTGTTTCAAGTTAACAAAGTCAACCCCACGTCACATGTCTCCTGTCCTTTTGGAAACTGAATGTCTTTCACAAGCTGGCCATTTGCTACACGGGAGTTTCTATAACATAATGTGATTTTTTTAGTGTGCTTTGTCTCTGTTGAGAGGGTTCAGAAAGCCCTTGAAGTCCTCAGCCTTAAATTCATGTTAATAGGGGAAGTCCTTTTTTTTTTTTTTTAGGTGGAAAGATTGGTTGGGAGAAACATTGACCCAGACTGCACTCTGAGTAAACTAGGGCAAAAGACCTGATATCGTCTGCAGGGTACTTATTAACCACTGCTCATTTGTGGGATCAATATTTCCAGCAAAGGAGTCAACACTCAAGATACACCACTACGTATGTCCCATTTTTTTCTTTGACATACAATTTATTTTATAAATGCATCTGCTGGAGAAGAAAAGGCAGTAGGAAGGACTGTGTCTTTTATCTCCGGGATATGCAAAGCACATTTATTTTCAGCTTTTATCTCCGGAATTGTATGTTGATCCCATACATATAGATTGATTTTGTTCAGGTAGATAATGAAAAGTCAAGTGGAAAATTACACAATGGCACTCACGATCCTAGTCTTATATCGGTATATAAATTGGTTTATTATTTCATTCTATTAAAAGAGGCTTTTTTTTTTTTTTTTTTTGGTACCAGGAAAACTTCAAAATGCATCATGCTGTCAGCCTCACTGAATTTTCTTTTGGGGGAGGAGATAGGGAAGGGGAGCTGAGGGAAGCGATTTATCCTGCTCGCTTTGCTAATTGTATTGGCTAAATGAGCTTCTGCAGTGGAGTATCCTTGCGGATTCTCTCCCTAGCCCACTGTAGGGTTACACACAGTTTCTGCAACTTTAGGACATTTCTGGGCCTGAACAAAGATGTCCACCATACAAGTCTTTCTCCATTAGTGGATATTTTTTCCACTCCAGGCAATTCTAAATTTTGTCACGATGACTGGAAAAGGCAAGCACTCTGCCCACCCATACCCCCCACCCCCCAGCACCAAGAGGCTAGGGGCGAGAGGGTGGTAGTCGGATAAAGGCCACCACCAAGGGACAGCTTGGAGCCAGAATCCTGGAGGAAATGTTATTAATAAACATCTTCTGGACATTTGGTAGCCCGTGGAGCTTGCTCCAGCTTAAAGCAATTAATTCAGGACACTGACATAAACTCTCCAGGTCTTTGACAGCTTGGAGCCGAAATAAAAATGCTAGTTCTCCCGGGAAGAGAAGAGGCTGGCTAGCTCTTTTCTGGACTGTTTGCTTATAGGCCCAGAGAGCAACCTTCCTTGCAGAATGAAATGCAAGGGCACAAACAATGTACCAGGGAGAGAATAGAAGATGGGAATGAACAGTTTGAACTATTTGCTCAGCAGAAGGGCACCACAATGCTGGGGTAGTGGTTTTCCCATGCATCCCCCATCCCTTCTTTGGGGTCTTTTGTTATGCCCTGTCTCCTTTGGCCAGATAAGAGCACAGCTGCAGCATTGCAGCTAAGTAAGGCTGTACTTATCCCCCTAAATCTCGGGGTGCCTTTACTGTAATGGGTTAGGCTCGGCTCTCTTTAATTTACAAGGGGATGGTGAGGGAGAGAATGGACGAATGGAGGGAGGGCAGATAGGACTGTGACATTGCTTGTATATGATTCATGATTTTCCCCTTTCTTTCTTAAATCTGGGCTGTGATCAGATAAAATCTTTGTGGGACATTTAAATTGAAGGGTTCAGTGATTTGTACCAGTCGCTAGACTAAAATGTTGCCTTTTTGGGAATGGAGCCAATGGACATTTATGTCCAGGGAAGAGAAGGGGGGGGGTTTTGAGGCAGGATTTTTTGTTTAAATAACCAGGTTTAAATTCTCTGACTGCTGGAAAGAGGGGAAAGTTTTGAACTGTCAGTTTAAAAACTGCATTCGATGATGATCTGTTGCTTCTGAAAATTACTGGGCTCTTCCTCTCCAAACTTATTTTGTTCAGAATCCTAATGAATACAGGTTGCTGGAATCAGACTTAAAAATAGGATGATCTGGAGATGAACATAAAATGTACTTTTGTAATTGCCATAAATTACGCCTCTAATCAGAGTAAATGTCACCTAAAATATAATCAAATGTTCTCTCACATTTGCTCTTTTAAAGCCAGAGCCTGTTTTAAATGCCATAAGAAACAGTAGACATGACAATAATATAAAAATAAGCACAAAGTACGGTTTACATTAAATTCATTTTAAAATAAAAATCTAACAGGGTTTCGCCTTGTCCTGTGTGTGTTCCGACTCAGTGGGTTTTGCCACCAATGTTCGTTGTGGGAGCCAGGCCACAATGCTTAATTCTATTGTAATAAGGTTTATTTAGCCTGAATGGTTTTATAAGGTGAAAAGGCAAAATGTTTAATGCCCAAGAAAATTCGTGGTTTACTATGATTGCATTAATTGTTTGCAGGCCAGAAGCCCACCTGCGGGAAGTACAAAGTTTCAAGGCTGTATTGTTTTTTTTCACACTGACAAAACTTGCAGAAAAAAAAAACCCTTCTGTATATTTTTCCTGCTGGGTGGTCAGAAGGAAAGGCCACGAAGCCAAAGGCCTCCCATTGAGACAGTGCACTGCGGAGAGCCGACCTCACGTGCCACCACCGCGGGAGATGAAAGCACCTGTCGGTCTTTGCCACTCGTTGGTGAGGTTTGCGCGTGCGGGGGAGGGGTGGTGGTGGTAGGGGTGGGGGTGGTTGGGGGAGATAGCCACGCACCAGCCCCCATGACGGGGACCAGGCTCCCCTATCGGGAAACGCCCACCCCATATGCCAACGCAGGTTCAAGGCATTCCGTAAAATGTCCGTGTGACCATTGTCCAGTAGAGCTGCTAAATATTTTTAATGTCAGTGAGTATTTAATTTGATTTAAAAGGTGTGTGCGTGTGTTCTGCCCTGCATAGGATGCAGGGAAGTGGGGGTAAAATATGGGGGAAGGGTTCTATTTAGACATTTGCAATTGTGGGATGGAACCATGAAAAAAAAGATGCCTTTTTTTTTTTTTTGCTTATTATTTTGTAAAAACATGTATGGATGAATAACCTTTTTTTCTATAAAGATTGTAATAAAACTATCAAGTACAGGTTGTTCTGCATTTCTTTTGCAAGCATACATTTTAAAATTTTGTATTTAGTACTGGAATTTTACCACTCATAAAGGACAAACACATTTGTTTTCTGATTAGGTGCTAAGATTAAACTTGTATCACCTTTATGAAACTGAGATCAGGTGAAGGAATCATAGTCTACTTGGATAAATATATTTCTTCTCTCCTCTCTAACTTTTGTTAGAAAGAAAAACTTGTCTAAGGAAATTTTTCCCACCTGGCATTTTAAGAATGGTCTGAAAATCATACTGAATCATTGTGGATAACTCAGGGAAAATGACTTTTCTTCTTCAAGATCATGGATTTCCACAAGAGGGTAAATTGTTTTTCATTGTCAATTTCTGCAAATAATGCACATGCAACTGGTTTGCAGCACAAAGCTGCACGTGTTGGGAGGCCTCTGAGGGAGAAGGAATGCCATAGTGGAGGGCAAAGGCACAAATAATGAATCAAGTTTAAAAGACTGTGGTCAGAAGCAAGGAGCAAGTGATACTGATCTTATATGAGACGGGCTTGGACATCACACCAGCTGCCACGGGGTTTGATTAATGAGGCATTAAGGAGATCGAGTGACACTTACAGCTAGTTACTTATGGTGCTAATTTCAAAACACTTTGCAATAGACAAAGAGACTCTGCTCATAATGCAAAGTAATTTGTGGTGTGTTCCTGGCGAATGCATTTAGCGAAGCAAATATAGTTATGCAGAATTTAAATTAAGGCTGACACTAATGTAAACAGAGCCCAAGAACCACTGTCCAATAATTTGATGAGGACACAAGTTTTAATCAAGCCTCTTCCACTAAAATAGAAATTTAAATCCCCATCGTTTAAACTGGATAAAATGCTTAACCATGAAGGTTGGGGGGGAAAATAGAAATTTACTGGAAAAGATAAAAGAAACACAGTATCTCTGGGAAAACTGTGAGTATACTTTGACCCAACAGAAGGTTATTCACATTGATTTAAATATTAAGGTGATTCCAG